TCTGGGAAGGGGACAGTGGAGGTTAGAGAGATGCCTTCCAGGATGGGGACCCCTCTCCTGAGATCTTGGAACAGCAGATAGTACCTGTTCCAAATGCTTTAGACTGAGTTCGAAGTACACACGAGTGAAATTGAATCCAGAATTTGGCTTGCTTCATCTTCCAGAGTGAGAATAGTCCGTTCCTTGCTCACATGCATAGGTAAAGGTAAAGGGACCCCTGTCTGTTAAGTCCAGTCGCGGACGACTCTGGGGTTGCAGCGCTCATCTCGCTTTATTGGCTGAGGGAGCAGGCCTTTGTCCGCAGACAGCTTCCATGTCATGTGGCCAGCATGACTAAGCCGCTTCTGGCGAACCAGAGCAGTGCACGGAAATGCCGTTTACCTTCCCGCCGGAGCAGTACCTATTTATCTACTTGCACTTTGACGTGCTTTCGAACTGCTAGGTTGGCAGGAGCAGGGACTGAACAATGGGAGCTCACCCCATCACGGGGATTCGAACCGCCAACCTTCTGATCAGCAAGTCCTAGGCTCTGTGGTTTAGACCACAGTGCCACCTGTGTCAGGTCACATCATTTAGGTATTTGAAAATCAAAAGTTCCCCCACTGCCTCTCATTGAGCCAAAAACTCCTCTTATCAGAGCACACATGTTTCTTTGCCTTTTCCCATGTATCTACTTATGATGAGGGACAAGAGGAGCTGCAGGTCCGTGTTCTATGTAGCAGCCTCCTGCAATAAGCATCCTGCGGAGGAAAGCAGAGAGGAGAAACTGGAACAGTTTGTCACCAGGGCATCCTATGTGGCAAGTTGCTCCTTTTCTGAAGAAGAGCCATCTGCTGTGAAGGAACCAACTGGAGTCAAATGATTCCTGATGGTGGGTGGCAGTGCTAAGGCAACAATGTCTAGCACAGACAGCTCCCCAGTTGCTCCCTTGAGGCAACAGCTCAGAGGGGGGCAGCTTGGAAACTTACAACCAGGGTTCTTTAACTAAAACTACCAACACAAAATGCCAGGGAACTGGTTCACTGTGTCCCAGATTGCATGTGCATTTCCACATCTTGGCTCCCCTGTCTTTGATTGAATATATCCAGGGTGTTTTGCTACTTGACTAAACAAAGGGCCTGTAAGTGCCCCCTACCATTCCCCCCTCCCCCACAACGCGCATGATGTTGTTAGCGAAGCATTTCCAGCTTGAACTCAGCTGTTAGGTCCAAAGGCTGGTTGGGTGGGGAAGGTGATGTGCTGCAGCACATACTGTCCAGACACAGCGGCGGCACCTGCCAGGAGTGGAACTGGTCTTTCTTGCTCAGCGGGAGTGGCTGCTGCACTGGTGCAGTGCTTCTCCTAGGGAAACAGAGGCAAGATCCGGCTCTCTTCTTTTGGTCCAAAGAAGGGGGCTGAAGGGAGGGAGAGGGAAAACTCTACTGATAACACCAAAAGGGATGGGGCAGAGGGGAGGGGACAGAAACCAGTCTGTATGTCAATACTCTGCAATGATGTGGCAGAGATTGATGGAGCAGCAAATAGAGCCCTCTAGTGACACACTTGCTTGTTAGCACAAGAGACACTTGCCAGAAGAACACATGTATTTTCAGCCCCTTCCACTCCCACTGAAACTCTGGTATCTCCCCACACAGTCGCTAATTGACATTACTTTTTAGTGCTTTAAATGACACTGGATTGTCAGTGACAGCCTCCTCAAGAAGAGAGATGTAAAATTACCATAAATTTTAAAGCCATCAAGGACAAAAAAACCCAAAACAGTTTTTTGGGGGTGAAATTCTTGAGGAAATTGAAAAATAGGCAATACTTTTTTTCTAGTGCCCTTTAAAGATCCAAAGTCACTTTGTTACTTTAGAAACATAAAATATATCATGGATAACTTGGTTTGCTATTAAATTACCATGTTCTGTATGCTATATTAAAAATACAATTTATTCAGTTAATAATTACAAATTGAATATACTTTTTGCTTTTCTTTCTTTTTGTTACATTTGGAGTTACAAGCTGCTGAGCTGTAAGAAACCTAGCATTTCTTTGGTTTTTGTACTTTATGAGAAGGCAAAAAACCCCCCCAATAAAAACAGGAGAAACAATCAAAACTACAGTTTTTTTAAAAAAGAAAATTATAATGTATTTTAAAAATTATTATGGGTTGTATGCTACTAAGTCCTACATTCTGTTTCTAAACAGGGATAGAAAACCTGTGGCCTTTTGGGTTCTGGCTGGATTCTAGCTCCCATTAACTATTACCAGCATGGCCAGTGGTTAGAGTTGCACATGCGAGTTGTAGTACAACAACATCTGGAGGGACACAGGTTCCCCACCTCTGGTTTAAAGCTGTTGTATGCTGAGACATTTCCCTGCTCCTTGGACTTCCCTCAGTGGGTTCTCCCATGTACAACTCTGACCCTTTAAGTCTGTGCTGTAATTTTTCCTACCCACTGCAGAGAGATTAGACGGCAGAAGTGAGTTGGTGGATACAACACCACACTGCTCTTGATTCTGCATATGACCTTGGGTATAAGGCACCAACTCCCCTTTCTCCATCACTCTGTACCAGAGCTGCTAGTCACACCCTTTGTGGCAGGAAGGATGTGGAGCGGTTTGCATTGAAGGGGGTGTTCTAGCTGCCTGAATTACCTGCAAAGGAACTTTGATCTAGATCTCTGGAAGTACACAAACCACAAGGCTAACTTTTAATTCACATCACGTGACATATTTTCTGTAGTGTCTAGATTTCTTTTTCCGTGTTGGGGCAGAAAGTATTTGTACCTGGGCCCTGCTAAGATAAATGTATCTTCCCAATCACTTCTCTGAGCCCAAAGCAAGCTGAATGAGGTGGTAAAATTTGAAGGTGGTAGAAGGGACTGTGCCACTTAAATTTGCATAGCAGCACTATAGTTTTTAAATACTCTTCCACATAAAAACTCTCTGTCACAAGAAAGAAAGCATGACAAGGAGAAAGGATCCATACCTCTTGCCTGCTGTGCTGGTTTCCTACATGCATGCAGGTGCTGTTTCTGTGGTGGTTGTTTTTTATTTTAATGTAGGACAGTTAAGGGGGAACCTGTGGCCTTCCAGATGTTAGATTACAGTTCCCACCATCTCTGACAGGTGCACATTGTTTTCTGGGGCTGATGGGAAATGTGTTTCAACAACATCTTTAGGACCACTGTTTTCCCCCACCCGCCCGGACATATAGACTCCAGAGGTTTAGGTATGAGGTTCAGAAAAGGGCAACCAAAATGATCAAGGGACTAATGCAACTTCTCTATGAGGAGAAGTCAAAACATTTTGGGCTTTTTAGTTTGTAGAAGAGTAAGAGTAAGCAAGGGGCATAATAAAGGTGCCTAAAATTATGTGTGGGGTGGAGGAAGCAGATAGAACCAAAAGCCAACAAAGTAAATCGTATGTTGGAAGAGGCATTGCACACAAAATGAACTATGGTTTTAGCAGAAATGTTATAAAGAATTAAGTAAAACTGGATTATTAATGGGTTAAAGTGTAAAATTTAAGGTCAGATTGGGTTAAGGTAAATTATAGATCAAAAATCGAGAAAGATGGAAAGGATTTGCTGAAATAGCTAATTTGAATTAGAATACAAAAAAGGGAGGGGCGAGGAGGTTGATGAAACAAGTAAATGAAAGACAAAGATATGGAAATACTGGATGTGTTTTTAAATGTTTTTGTTTTTAAATGTTTTTGTTCTTTTTCTTTATTGTTGTGCTGTATTGTTTTTTATTTTGCTTTTTATTTTTTAGATGTATTGTAACTTCTTATTGTCTTTTTTCTTTTCTTTTTTTCTTTGTAATTGTTAAACTCTTAATAAATATCTTTTTTTAAAAAATGAACTCTTTCACTGTTGGAGACAGAATCCCTTCTGAATACCAGTTGCTGGGGAACACAAGAGGGGAGTGTGCTGTTGTGCTTGTGTTTCTGCTTGGCGGGCTTCAGGAACAGGACACTGGGCAAGGTGGACCTTTGGTGCTGGTATTATGCAACAAGCATATAAATGACACCTTGTGCTGCAAACCAATGTTCTGCTATTTACACCTATAGGTTTCCACTCCAGATACTATCTTGAGCAGGGGTCCCCAACTCTTCTGGGCTCAGGGGCACTTGATCTACAAGAGGAAGTGGTTTCTGGGCCATGACAGCTTTTGCCACAGTTACTTTGTTAACCTCTGAGGTTCCACAGGACTCCGGTGGAGAGTGTCCCCCAAACTCCTTTTATTTCTATCTCTTCTTCTGAAAATGCTACTGCCTTGTTGATGCTGGAGAAGTCTCGCAAATTGGTGTTCAATGAGGTGGTCACCTGCCACTTAATTTGGCTGGAAGTGGTTTCCTCCTGCCACAGTCCATTTCCCTGACAGGGAAAAAGCAGCACTAAACAATGGCTGCACCCTCTCCTCTTTCTCTTCTTCCCCATATCCAGTGTGAAGTCAAGGGGAGGCAGGGAGGGAGGATAGCATCTATAGCAGAGCATTATACTTTCATGGCACAACATGACTTTGGCAGCCACTCTGTGTGACTTTTTAGAAGAAGGGAGGAGTGCATGTAGCTGTAATAGTGGTTCACTGTGCTTCCTTTGCTGGGAGCCACACCACAGTGCTGGAACAGCTCCTTCCATGCGTCTCTTGCCCTTGAATGTTAGAAGACAGGACCAGAAGCACAGCTACTATAGCGCTGTGCTGTTTTTCCATGGTGTGGGAAAGACAGTGCTGTGCAGTGGCAATAAGGGGGATGTGGCAGGTGTCAGTTTTTGTCACCCAGCTCTTCAGCCAATGATATTTGCTCTCTTATCTTCAGCTTTGAGTTTTGTTTGATGCTGGCATTTTATATTCGGAACTTCTCTGTCTGGAGGAGCTGAGTCAGGGCTGGTGTGGTAGTGGCGTGGATGCCTAAGGGGCTGTAGTAGTCACAATGAAATCACGTATGTCTCATTCTTGTCTCTCGTCTGCTCCTGGCTGAGTGATCTTCTTTCATTTTCCCTCCCCCAGGCTGTTCCTCTAAGTCATTCAAGCTGTACTCTCCAAAGGAGCCCCCAAACGGCAACGCCTTCCCCCCCTTTCACCCGGGCACTATGCTGGATCGAGATGTGGGGTAAGTGAGAGGCTCTTTTAAAGATGTTTTTCCTTCCTTTTGATAGCTGAGGAGGTCACCTAAATTTGTTTCTGGAGAAACACCCCTGGAGTTCAGGGGAGCTCAGTTCCTGCGTATCATCAGCAGGCTCCACTATTGATTAGAAGGAGGGAATCCCAGAGACATTAATTGTTCAGAGAGACAGCAGGTGGTTGGTTACCTTTAAGGGTAGCTACTGTATGCTGAGGGATGTGGGTGGCACTGTGGGTTAAACCACAGAGCCTAGGACTTGCTGATCAGAAGGTCGGCAGTTCGAATCCCCGTGACGGGGTGAGCTCCCGTTGCTCAGTCCCTGCTCCTGCCAACCTAGCAGTTCGAAAGCACGTCAAAGTGCAAGTAGATAAATAGGTACCGCTCCAGCGGGAAGGTAAGTGGCGTTTCCGTGTGCTGCTCTGGTTCACCAGAAGCAGCTTAGTCATGCTGGCCACATGACCCGGAAGCTGTACGCCGGCTCCCTTCGGCCAATAAAGCGAGATGAGCGCCGCAGCCCCAGAGTTGGCCACGACTGGACCTAATGGTCAGGGGTCCCTTTACCTTTACCTTACTGTATGCTGATAGGAGCCATTAATTATTTTCTCATGGCACACCAGCCATTCTCTTCTGGCATGCTGCTGTGCCCTTGCATACAGTGCTTTTTTGTTAATCTATCCTGTATTGTCTTATTTCTCTGCAGACCAACTCCTATGTATCCGCCAACATACCTGGAGCCTGGGATTGGGTAAGAGACTGCACTGCTTTTCCTTCTGACAAACTGTGTTAACAGCAGGGTAGAGACAGATAAAACATTTTTCAAGTGTGGTGCAAGTGATTTCTGAGCAGATCATCCAACTGCCCCCTTGTTCACGAGGGTATGAAGGCGGTTACTTTCCCCTCACCTTGAAAAGTACATAGAGGTAAAGAAGGAAGTTGGAAGACTCTCTTTCCCACTTCCTCTTTCAGCTCTATGTGCTTTTCAAGGCTTAGCTTAATTCTGTTGGATCTGACTTTTACCTAGATCCCTTAGAAAAGTGAAGGTTGTGTGAGTTCTCTTTTTCTCAGGGTGGGGCTGATGTGAGGGAGAAGGGAGAGAAGTGACCAGAGAGGGTGTTACCCATAACACTAAAAAAATCCAAATGCGCCCATAGACCTAAAAAAAGGTTGGCAACCCATATAATCCATATGCATGTTGGAACCGTACCATAGTATTACTGAACTCATATTCTGGAAGAAAAACAAAACTTTGTTTCCAAACCTTCTTATAATGACAGCTGTTATAATCTCACGATACAGTCTAGCAAAGCTCTACAGTTAAATGTTTCAAGAAACATTTGCAGCCCTTTGAGGCATTTGCTTTCATGGTAGCGGATCTGTGTTCAAACCACTTACAATATTAACATCTGTCCTCATCCAAACAGAACCTTAAATGAAGGGTGCATGCGGTGTGCATATTTATGCGTTTTCAGATGTGTATGAAATTATCCATTTTGACAAGAGTCAGGACTTCAGTGTGTAGGGAGAAAAGGGGGGAAGGGAAGTGGAATCAAGCTGAGAGGAGTGGCTGGGGCAACCCAGTCTGATGGGTGGGATATAAGAAATAAATTAGCAGCAGCAACAGCAGCAGCGGAGTGACCTTTTCTCTGTTACTACATTGTAAACCACTCTGAGGGTTTTTGCCTACAATCAAACAGTATATAAATTTTATGAAATAAACGCACTCTCTCGTTTGAGGAAATCCCGTGAAATAGTCTCCTACATCAAGTATCATGCAGGTACTTTCTGACCAGGATTGGAACATTTGTAGAAGCAAAATCCCATTGAATTCAACTGGGCTTACTCTTATAAAAGAGTCTCAGGTTCAATCCCTGGCATCACAAGATAGGACTGAACTTTTTAAAAAATATTGGTTTTAATTTATATAATCATGAGATACAAATACCCATTTCCCCTCCCACAGCAATAAGCATGCAGCATGTTCTTACTCCTATTGTTTATTTTGTTCCATAACCATTGCTGCTGGCTTCTATTTTGTTTCATAATCATGGAATGATTAGTAGACGAATCTCTGGGCTATGAAAGACTTTCATCTGAAAACTTAAGAGAACCCTTGCTAGTCAGTGTAAACAGCAATGAGCTAAATGAATCAGTGGTTGGACCCTGTGTAAGGTAGCTTCCAGTGTTCCTATTTTAATTGACTAAAAAGCGACCCCCAATTAATCAGACAATAGGGTTTTTTATTTTAAAAAGCCCCAAATATTTTTAATATGAGTAGCTACATAAAGTTCTATGGTGGCAATTACCATCTGCAGAGACATTACCATATTTGCTACAATTTTCATCAGCAGCACCTGGTGGTGGTGGTGATTTCGCATCCCTGATCTTGATGGCTGCTGTTAGTTTAAAAAGGAGGACTCCAGGCATAGAAATAGATGCAAATATGTGGTTAACGTCACATCTAATTGTATCGTAAGAGCAGTAAATGAAGTGTGTACCCTCCACCGCACCTCTGGAAAGGCCTTTTATTTATTTAACAATGGAATTCTATACTGCTTGATTGTAAGAAAACCTTCTAAAAGTTTGCAAAAATATGGTCCAGTGATTGGAGAGTTGGACACAGATGTCGATAAACCTGAATTTACATCCCTGCTCAGCCATTAACTTGGTGGATGGCACTTGGGGTGTGGGGAGGCATTTTTCTGTCTGTGAAATGTGATCACCAAAGCAAGTAATGCATTCTGCATCATCGTAACACCCCAGACAAATTATTCTATCTTATTAGATTGAAATATTAATTGTTCAATTGCTGTGGTTGATTGACAGGAGGCACACACCATATGGCAACCAGACTGACTACAGGATATTTGAGCTCAATAAGCGGCTGCAAAACTGGACAGAGGTATATTTATATGGGAGTTCAAGGTGGTTGAATCAGGAGGAAGAGTGGGGAAAAGTTGTGGATGGGGGTACTGTTACTCTTGCAGGGGATGGAAGAAGAGTCTGGGGTGTCCACCAAGCCCTTGGAAACACCCTTTCTGGGTTCCTTTGCTGCCTTTCGTGGCGGATGGTTATCTCCTAGCCTTTGAAGATCTCCCCTCCCTGCATGTAATGCTTTTGTCCTCTTGCTGCAGGAATGTGACAATCTGTGGTGGGATGCCTTCACCACCGAGTTCTTTGAGGATGATGCCATGCTAACAATCACCTTCTGTCTGGAAGATGGACCAAAGAGATACAGTGAGTCTCAGCCTAGGACGGATCCTGCAAGCAGACACCGTTTGCTTCAAAGCCTCTCCTGAGCTAACCTTGAAGGAGTAGTCCCCTGTTTTCAGGGTTGTCTGTTAGCTTAGCATCTGGTACATAATTGGTGTGGCTCAACCAGCCCCCCACCCCTTGCCTTCACAGCCCATCCTGAAGAAGGAACTCCAGAAGAATCTACTACATAGCTCAGATACTGGTAAAGCTGATGACTAGGAACGGAGTGTATATCGTACTGCTTACTAGGCTATAAAAACTGACCCTTCATTTTTCAACCACAGAACACTCCAGTTGCCTTTCAGCAGACATTTAGCTCCTGCAATCTTGCTTAGGAGCTCATGGTGTGTACCAGAAATTTCAGAAATTTCAGCAGTTTCTCTCTGTTCCTCCAGTATAAATACATTTTCCATGATTGAAAACAGATTTGTAGTGCTTCCTGGGCACAGACACATAAATTGGCTGAAAAGGTTGGTGTGTTAAGAAGGCACACTGGAAATGAAAATCTTAAAGTCTTAAAGTTCCAAGCAATTTTTAAAAAGCATTTTCATCCCTCTAGTTCCTCCAAGAATCTTCATTTCTCACGGAGGAACTGAAAAGTTCCAGGGCCAGGATGGTCTTGATTTATGCATTCATGTCAGCACTTGCATGTGTCTAAGGCACACCCACACACCTCCCTTTATACATCATATTCTAGTTAAGAGGCAAATACTTTCAGGGTGAAAATGTGTATCATTTCTTTTTAAAGCAATTTGGCACATCACCAGTCTCTCCTCGGGGCAGAGGTTGGAATGCTGTTGTCCAAGTAGGCTTTTGAAGCATAGCTTCCTAGAGACCCAGTTGATCACAGCAGGTCACAGCTCTGATCCCCACATTTCATCATGGGTGGGCCTTGGACAACCCACCTATGAGTAAGCCTGAGGGGCTGGGAAACAAGGACAGTTTGCCCAGGACCCCCAAAACAGGAGCTTGGACTGCTCTACATATTCATTTGGATACTTCACCTGGTGCCTTACTATGGAAGACTTCGCTCGCTTGGTATTTCCACAGAGATGCTCATGATCCCCAGCATAAAAATAAGTGCCTATTGCTCTAGCAGCCCTGAGTCTGCAGTGCAAAATATCAGTAACTGATTTTCATCTCCCTTTCCTTCCCCTACGTCTAGCGATTGGCCGCACCCTGATCCCCCGCTATTTCCGCAGCATCTTCGAAGGGGGTGCTACCGAGCTGTATTATGTCCTGAAGCACCCGAAGGAGTCCTTCCACAACAACTTTGTCTCGCTCGACTGTGACCAGTGCACCATGGTCACCCAGCATGGCAAGCCCATGTTCACCCAGGTGAGAGGGCAGCACTGGTCCTCTGCCTCGCCCCCAAGCCAGGCTAGCAGGAGTCCGTGCTGAACTGCTCCCCAGAGTAGTTCAGCCCTTTGTCACTGCTTATGACCTCCTGCAAAGAGCCCGAGGGTGGCGGAAGCAGGCAGAAACCTAGAGACCAGGTTTGTTTGCAGGGTGGAGAAGGCTCACCTGAGCCGCCAATGCCATTTGTTTGCTTTCCACTTTCCCAGGTGTGTGTGGAGGGCCGCCTCTACCTGGAGTTCATGTTTGACGACATGATGAGGATAAAGACGTGGCACTTCAGTATCCGGCAGCACCGGGAGCTCATTCCCCGCAGCATCCTTGCTATGCATGTGAGTCCTGTGTTTGGTACTGGCTGTGGCTTGACCTGGTTTAAGCAACTCAGCCGGACTCCCTCTGAAATCAGGAGCATTTTGTAGTTTGAGCTTGCTTTGTGTTGCTGAGCCCTACTCCCCCCCCCAAAAAAAAGCACTGTTGCTTCTTGGATCTTTGCCAGCTCAGCTCCTCGGCACCCAGGCCAGCACCTGTCACCAGAGGGAAGAAGCGGGTGCACAATTCTCAATTCCTAAATTGTTGATCTTGGACTGGATGCCATACATGAGGCTTTTATCCAGCTTTTCATATCTGCATTTCATGGGTTTGTTTTTACTGCATTTCATTGGCACTCTCTTTCTACTGAAAAGAATCATAAAGTGGCTTTGGGGAGGAATAATACAAAATGCAAGGAAAACTAACCCCAAGAAATATTGATGATCACATTAAGAGCAACAATAGTACAAACAAGCCTCCTGTTCTTGTTGGACTCTTCCTTCTCTCCTTGCTCACTGCAGGCGCAAGATCCCCAGATGCTGGACCAGTTGTCCAAGAACATCACTCGATGCGGACTGTCAAACTCCACGCTCAACTACCTCCGAGTAAGTGCTTTCCCACAGCGCTGGTTAGGCTGTGGAAAAAGCTCCCTTGGATCCTTCCCTTTTACTTTTCATAAAGAAACATAAAGCTTACCTTTCAAATGCGGCACCTGGGGACTAATGCTCTGTATTTTTTGCTCTACTTTACGATTTATTTGAACAGAGCAGATCATTTTACTGCGTGCATATTGTGACGGAGGCCAGGAAGTTATTGCTAAAAACTAGTTCCGTGCAAGGAAAGAGTACAGGAAAATGCAGATTAGAGGTTTATACAGAGGAACATGAATTTCCATAAATATATTATGTATGAAAATCAGCTTGTGGCATTGGTTTCTGCGAATGCTCCACAGCTGTTGGGGGCAAAGATGCCTTCATATTGGGCTATGCCCATGTGCACAGAAAAGCCTCTGCATTCTGTGTGTAGCTTGAGATGCATGGCTTGGAGGTGTGTCCCTGTGGATGCCCCACTAGCAAAGAAAAGGGGCAAGGCTGAAGCTGGGAATGTACTTTATCCTGTGGCCAGAGACTAGAAGATGGTTTATGTTGCCCCTTTTCCATCTTCCCCAAGACACAGAGCTGCATTTGGCTCGAGGGGGTTTCTGGTCTCTTGACAGGGGCCTGCTCTCCGCAGCAAAACCCCACCTTACCTCTCTTTCTTCCGTCTTTACAGCTTTGCGTAATCTTAGAACCAATGCAGGAGTTGATGTCACGGCACAAGACCTACAGCCTCAGTCCCCGGGACTGCCTCAAGACATGCCTCTTCCAAAAGTGGCAACGGATGGTGGCGCCACCTGGTGAGAGTTTTGCAGGGCCACCCTTGGTACTACAGCTTCCTGGATGCATTTCCTGTGAAGCCCACTATAGGGAGGTATAGGAATTGCCCTTCTCCGGCCTGCAACTGCTAGTTGGGACTACTGACATTTCCTGTGAAACCCACCAGAGGGTGCTATGGGCATTGCCCTTCTCTGGGATGCAATTGCTAGTAGGGAATGCTGACAGTGCTTGGTGCCAGAATGCTTGGCTTCTACTCCTGGCTCTGTTGCTACAGTGTGGGATGGGTGAATGAGATCTGGGGGGCTGATGATGTTTGAAGAGGTTACAGGCAAGTGTAACCAGTGAATCAGGCTTTGGGGGAAGCCTAGCAAATATACAATAGCGAGTTGGGAGGTTATTTTTAGTTACAGCTTGATTGGACTGGGGAACACTGGATTCATTTGCTAGGACCAAGATGTCTCACTGGCATTCCCTTTGCTAACACTTTCCAGCTGAGCCTGCACGTCAGCAGCCCAGCAAGCGCCGGAAAAGGAAGATGTCAGGGGGCAGCACCATGAGTTCTGGAGGTGGCAACACCAACAACAGCAACAGCAAGAAGAAGAGCCCAGCCAGCACCTTTGCCCTCTCCAGTCAGGTACCTGTAAGCATCCCCTTTTCATTCTCTCTTTTCGTAACCTGAGAAGTCCTCCTGCGAGGGGCCCTGCTCCATGTAGCTGGAACACCCTCAGAAACGCTGGAGAAGGCTCCCTGCGGTATATCTGCAGGGGCGGGATAGAGAGCTTCGTTTGTTCAAAACGGTGGCGGCAGCCATCTTGAAAATGGCAGCACTGTTGGGGTGCCTGTTGGTGCCAGCGCCACATGAGGAAGAGGATTCCTTCTGTAATTCTTCATGTTTGACATCCCCACCCCCTCAGCCCTATGCCACCTACGTTCAGGCATAGTCAGAGGGAGAGCTTCCTCCTCATGAGGGAACAGTAGATCCAGAGGCATTTGACCTCTTCCTCCTTGGATCAGATCTGGAACAAAGCAGAGAGGGGTCATATTTATCCTGTGCTCTGGTGTATTCCCAGATGTGTTAACTGGCTGTCAGCTCCTAAACACACATTGGAAATGGAGTAGCCACAGTTGTAGGAATGTTTTGGGGCTTGATAAAAGATGTAGAGAGTAAAGGAAGCCAAGGGGTTGGGTCTCCTATTCAGAAGGAAATGTTTTGATTTGGCGGTGGCTGGCTCCCTCTGTGGTGTGGGTCAGGGCAGCCTCCACCTCGATTATGTTTCGGGACCCTCTTCCCTCCTCAGGATGTGATGGTGGTGGGCGAGCCGACCCTGATGGGCGGGGAGTTTGGTGACGAGGACGAGCGCCTGATCACGCGGCTGGAGAACACGCAGTTCGACGCTGCCAACGGCATTGACGACGAGGACAGCTTCAACAACTCTCCCGCGCTGGGCGCCAACAGCCCCTGGAACAGCAAGCCCCCCTCCAGTCAGGAGAGCAAGTCCGAGAACCCGACGTCGCAAGCATCGCAGTAAAGCCCTCACCCCCAGCCTGGCCTTCAACGGACTTGGCTGGCGTCCCCATGGACTGAGTCGAAACCGTTCTACCTGGACAATTTGTGAAGAAGAGTAGCCGGCTGGCTGGCCGGCAAGGTATCAGGGCCGGTGGGCCTTGCAGCACCAGCCTGCCCACCTACCTGCCTCCAGTTGGCCTGGCCACCACTCCCTGATGTCTGCACTCTTGGCTGTGCCCTTTAGGGCAGACTTGGGGCGCTGGGCCTGACGGAGCCTGGGTCTCACTACAGGCCTGGCAGAATTTTAACTCCTCCTCCCTTCCCCACCCATGCATCCAGAGCTCCGGACAACACAGGCGGCACTCCTGCAGGATGGCGTTCCGTGCTCTTTATACGCCCCGTTGGAACCTGACTGGCACGAAACACCTCAGGAAGGGAAGGGGCCACGAATGCTCTTGGCCATTTGGCAGAATGTCCAGCCCTAAGCACGTTTTATATAGAAGTCCAGCTCCATATTTGGCCTCAGGGGGCTCCCTTCTAACAGGAGGGTCTGGCAATGTCATGGGGGCAGCTATGATTTCTGTGGGGTGGGTCTCAAGCAGTCCCTCCTGGTGCGGCAGTGGGGCCACTGCTGCCCCGCCTGAAGACAAGGGGAGTTTAATGCCTCCTGGAGTGGGGTTAGAAAGCAACTCTGCAGTTGGCATGGTGAGGGCACCTGCCCCTTTGGGTCTGGCCTTCTGCCTGACCTGCTCCTACAGAAAACTGCAATCTTGACCCCCTCCCCTGTACTTTGGGTTTGGTTTTTTGTTTTTTTACAAAAAAATATTATTAAAATTGTACGTTTAAAAAAAATATCTGCCCTTCCTCCCTATTTCCCCCCAGTCCTGATTTTTGTACAGGCTTGTCTACCAATTGGGAGTCTTGGTTTTTATATACAGTTCTGAGAGCTTCAAACCAAGGAGAGACTTTGCAGACTTCCTTTCTACATCCTTTGAGGACAGCATGGCTGCCCCACTTTGCCCCCTCTGTGTAACTTGTGTGTGCTGCTGTCCTTGCTCCCTCCCTTCTCTACCACCTCCCCCCCCCTTTCGGGTTTGTGTACCTTGTGCTTGTATATTTCCGCGCTGTAGGCTGTGTGTATGATACTGTTCTTTCACTGTGTTCTCACTAATGCAGCCGCCCCCACCAGTGGTTGGGGGAGTTCATTGTGATGGGCGTCCTTTGTGGGAGGCAGGAGAGTTCAGAGGGTACTGTCACCAGTTTACAGCAGTGCAGAACATGGGGAATGGGGGTGGACGCAACCTGGAGATGGGGTAACACGTGCTTAGTAAAGAAGGGTGGCCATTTCCTCCATTGCGGAGTGAGGTTCTAGGTAACTTTTTTACAGCCAGATCCATCCTTCCTGGTGGGGAGTGACAGGGCTCACAAAGGTCCCCAAGGAAAGAAGACCTGTTCCTAAACCCACCCAGTTCACTCTCTGGTGTTTGGATGTCACTCAACATTTTCCACCTGCAATTCCTTACTCTTAATTTTGTCCCAAGAACCATGGAGAGAAGTTGCATTGTCATGGAGGCCTCAAACCAACCATCTGTTGAGCTTGGGTTGCCATGCGTGAGGTAGCCCCCAAAGTCTTTTGGTCACCTCATGGTATGGACTGATTGTGAGGGTGGTGGCATTTAGAGGGCACAGTCTGGACTGTCATGGCAACCACCCTTTGCCTTACTTAGACTGTTTCTCTAAGCAGGTCCCAGACTGCGAGGGGCTTTTGCTAGGAGGATGGCTGCCGCCAGGCTTACCCTAGAGCTGCTGTTTCTGGCCCGTTGCTCTGTGGTAGATGCCACCTGGCTCATGCGCTGGAATCCCATGTTCTCCATTCCCCTGGAGGAGCCCAGATGGATCAACCTGGAACATGCTTGGGGTGTGGGGTGGGACTGGTCACTTTTTGTGTTACTGGGCCCAGATGCTCCATTCTGCTCTGTCCCCCGGGAGTAGGCAATACAACAGTCAATACTATAATTTACAGGGCGTTTTTCTGTAACCTTTTTGTACCTAAATATATGAGTGTCACGTCCCCCATTGCTGTGCTCGGCATGAACTGGTGACGTGAACTCTGTCCCCTCTCCCCACCCTTCTTGCCCTTTCCACCTACCACTCCCCCCCCCGGGGCACTGTAAAGCCTTTTTTTTTTTTTTTCATAGTTTGTGCCATTTATGGTCATGTATGGTACCAATAAAACAACTTTTTTCGGTTTGGTGCTCTCCTGCCAGAGTCGTTTCTCATCGGACCTTGAGAAAAGGGACCTGTCCTCCCTTGCTAGGTGAGGTTTGGACTTCCTCGCTTAGCCTGAAGACTTACCTGTTGTTCCCTGATGCCAGCCTCTCCCAAACTTTAAACTCTCATCCTTCGCTCCTATCCGTCTTCCCTTCCATCTCCACGGAACTGTGTTTGCTGGTACAACCCATTCTGGGACTTATACACCAGGAAACAAAAGAAATAACAGACACACCGAAAAATCACAGAAAATGTGAGGGCATGGATCAACAATGCTGGTAGTGATTGGAATGGCATAGCTCCAAGAAACATGGAGTTGGGAGTTTGCAACACGGCTTCTTACCTGCAATAGTAAATTGTCCTACCTCACTGACCCAAGCAACCATAAGCCATGTTGTAGGGAGATGGGGGAAAGGAGGGAAATGTTATTTCAGGCTGGCTAAGAGAGTCACTTGTTAAGTACTTAGTGGTGGAAAATCATGATAGGCAGCAGTTCTTTGAACAACTTATGATGGAGTGCCAACTGCAAGAGCCATCTTCCTGCCTCACTAGCAGTGGTCACTTCTAGCCTTATATTTCCCTGCGCCTGCATGTTTTTTCAAAATGAATGCAGTGAAGCTACTTCAAAGTAGTTGTAACTCTTCAGTTGTAACGCTTCTCGTGTTGGAAAGGCCATCTTAACCCATTGTGAGACCTGTGTTTTCCAAAGTCGTTGCAACCCTCCTCCCTGTTCCACATCTCCTATTTGGAACAGACTTTCCCAACATTTCAAAGACACAGGTCTTTTGACCGCTCTCCTGTCCCTTCTCCATGCAAATTTAAAAAGTGAGGATGGAGTGGTAACTTCTGTCAGCAAACAGCCACAGCACAAACGTGCCTGGTTCTATCTAGGCCTTTATTCTTCTTTTAAGCTTAAACACATTTGTGTATCTGAAGAAGTGTGCATGCACACGAAAGCTCATACCAAGAACTAACTTAGTTGGTCTTTAAGGTGCTACTGGAAGGAATTTTTTTGTTTAAAACACATTTGTTAGCAGTTGCTAAACTGTTGGATCCCATAGGCACAAACCTGTTGGAAGAGAAGAAACCAACTTCTCCAAAGCCTGGGCCTTTATTTCTTTAACCTTTATACGACAGGCCTACTCAAGGGAAGCCGTAAGGAGTTTTCCGTCAGGATAATTATTTGTGCTGCTTTAGAAGCCTATAACTTTGGGTGGCTGAGGGGGAAATGGGCCTCCACGCTTTTGTTCTGACAGCAGCCTCCTTGTGCCTTGGCTCTTATCCCGATAGCAGTTAACCACAGAGATGCAAACAGGCCACAGTGCTTGTGCCTTTGAGGGTGAGGACAGGAGGAGGTTAAGCAATGGTTAATCTTGCCAATTGTCCTATCCTGTTGGCAAAAGACTAAAGGTCAGGCCAGTTCTGTCATGATGCCATTGGGGAAGGCTCAGGTTTCTTGCTCCTTTCCTCATCAGTAGGAGCAGCCAAAAAATACTTTTCAGGTCCAGCATCCTAGATCCTCTTCCAGAGAGAGAGAGAGAGAGAGAGAGAGAGAGAGAGAAGCTGTCATAGGTTACTAGAAACCCATAATGTTGGGGTTGAAAATCTGAATACAAATCAGCTCTGTTGTATCTTCATTGATAGCAGCTTGCTTTTTGTGAGTTGGGACCCACAATAAAAACCCCTCTTTCCTTCAGGGTTACCTTCTCAGTTTGTGAGTTGCAGATTTCAACTTGCTCATTTTTTCTTTATTGAAAGGATGCTCACTTGGGACAGAGAAGAACAGCATGTAGCTTATAGTTGGTCTTATCATTTGATGTTCAGTAGGCAATGGCAAGATTTTGTTTCAAAAATATCAGCTGCAGTGACAGCTAGCATGTCCTACAACAGTACAGTGGTACCTCGGGTTAAGTACTTAATTCGTTCCGGAGGTCCGTTCTTAACCTGAAACTGTTCTTAACCTGAATCACCACTTTAGCTAATGGGGCCTCCCGCTGCTGCCGGAGCATGATTTCTGTTCTCATCCTGAAGCAAAGTTCTTAACCCAAGGTACTATTTCTGGGTTAGTGGAGTCTGTAACCTGAAACATATGTAACCTGAAGCGTATGTAACCCGAGGTACTACTGTAACACCAAGATGCACAGAGTCATGGTCCACAAGGTTGTTTCTTGTTTTTGTTTGCCATGCAGTGAAACACTGGTGAAGAAAAGGGCATACAGGGACACTGATTTCACTGAATAAGATAATCGGATTCCTTGCAGGGCAATCATATACACATGTCTACCCAAAATTAAGTTCCCATTGAGTTCAGTGAGGCTTACTCCCAGGAAATCAGGCACAGGATTGCAGCCCCTAATTCCCTTTGAAATGCACACCCACTGAGGGAAAAAATCAAAGAACCCCCCCCTGCCCCCACCCACTACTTGTGCTGTAGCTGCTAGGAGTTGGTGCCTTGTTCCACTGAGCAAATTGATGCAGAGCAATTGCCACTTTGCCCTTTCCTCTCCAGAAGATTACAGTGTGATCAGCCTGAACACAAAGGCACTGCAGTTTAGGCCTAACTGCTCTGTGAAGACGTGTTGACTTTGCGCTTGGATATGGAGGTAACATTTGGGTATATTTAATACTCTCTATGGTCCGTTTAAAACTTGACTGTATACTCATTCTAAGGAAGGGCCACTTCTGATGCTGCAAGCTGCTTGCAGGAACTTGCATTTAGGAAGCACAGTAAGTCTGCAACTTGTGTGCATTCAACTTGTGTGCATTCAGCTTTATGAGCTTGGCAATTAAAAAAAACCAAAAACATTTTAAAAGGGGACAGGCAACCAGGGGGGAAAACTTTTGCAATCTCACCCACCATTGCACCTAATGTGTTTTGATTATATGTGATTTTGGCTTTAGGCACGATCTCTGGAATGTAACTCCCATGTAAGTGGCAGACTTGCTGTACATCACATTTCAGGTGTATTCAGATCCCTTTAAAATCATGTTCATTATCCCATCATTCATCGGGATTTGATTTTCATGCAAAATATGAACATCAATATGTCATCCTATTCTGTCATGTTGTCATCTATTATTTACATATTGCATTTATATCCCTGTTTTCAGCCAGGATTGGCTCCTGGGGTGACTTTTAAATAAAACACCCATATACCGTATTTTTCCATGTATAAGACTAGGGGTTTTTTAACCAAAAAATTGGTTTAAAATTGGGGCTCGTCTTATACACGGGTAGTGCTGAGGAGTGTTTTCTTAATTTGGAATTGCCAAAAATAAGGGGGTGTCTTATACATGGGGGCGTCTTATACACAGAAAAATATGGTAGATACAATATATCTATAGAGATCTTTGGGGTGGGGTGGGGGAGTCTTTTTGCCCCTTGGCAGTCATTGATGCAATGCAGGCTTTTCTTTCCAGAGAGAGGGAAGGCAAAAGAACCTGCAGATAGATACAGAGGTTCGGTGATGGTACAGATGGCAAACCAAAAAACGCTGCCTTTCCCTTGGTCGTCATTTTAAAGAGACGGAGGGACTGGAAAAGGCTAATCCAAAGGTCTGCATCCCTCTTTCCTGTGTGATATGCTGCTCAACATGCCTGAGACCACACATTTAACTGTTTAGTACAGTGTTTCCCAACCGGTGTTCCGCGGCACACTAGTGTGCCGTCAGACCTTGCCTGGTGTGCCGTGGGAGGGAG